TTGAGTATGATGTGCTCTGATTTAGGCTTGCTGTTTTCTGCTCTGCCTCGGGCAGCAAAACTGTCTCCGGCCAGCCCTGCAGGCCATATTTTCCAGCCATTCCTCGGAGATGTTTTTGCAAAAGCTGAAATAAAACCCTGTCCAAGAACAGACGAAGCAACCCACGTACAAGCCTTCTCCCCAACCTCGATTCTACTGCCAACGAGAGGACTCTACGTAAGGCACTCTGAGTTGTTGGTCACTTCCAGAAGGGCTTCTGACCATGTCAAAATCGCTCAGGTGTAAAATGATGGGTCGGCAAGGTTGGCTATGAGCTTTAGGAAAAGCTCGGAGGGAGCACACACTAACGCCCATCACATACAGAAGCGGAAAGCAAGCGAGGCGCATGGCAGGAAAACAAGATGGAAACACGGCAAAGAGTGGTCGTTTGACCAGATAGGTGGGGTATAAATACAATAAATAAATAAATACTGTAAATAAATGAATACTGTAAATAAACAAATAAACAAACAAACAAATCAATCAATCAATCAATCAATCAATCAATAAAGAGTAGCCCTCTGTGTGACTCTTGACTTCTTTTTCAAAAGGAGGAATGAAATTCTACACATTTATTCAACTTTTATTCTTCCCCATAATTCCCTTTGACACCCTAGAAAAAGCCAATTGCCCCTCAGAATAGCGTGACACTGTGATGTAAAAGCAGAGGACGCCCCAAAACAGGAGGAAAGCAGGGCCTAGAGATGTTACCGTCCAAACGCCTCACCTTTTTCCTTACTTGCAACGGCAATTGATTTTTTGGAGGGGCGGATCCTGGCTAGCCCCAAATGTAACAACAGGCAGTACAATTTTTCTGGAAGTTTGTGTGTTCTACACGCAATGCACGCAGAACACAACGCTCTTTCTCCATTGGGCATTTGTGTAATGAAATGAAATGCGTGGGCAAGAACAATATGACAAAAAGGTGAAACACAGAGCCATGCTTAGCTTTGTTAGAAAGGCAGTGTGGAGCAAACAACTAAACGCTTCAACGTGCTGCTCCACAGGTGAATGCTGTGGTTTCAACGCTGTTCTCTGAGCTGCCTATGGGGGCCACTTGATGGGCTATAAAAAAGTTATTTAAAGAACACACTTCCCAAACAGGTCGAGGGAAGGTGGCCTTTCACCCGCTGTGTTTGACTGTTATTATAGTTATTTGCCTGCTTTTCTTCCTTCAGGCTCTATCTAGCCCAGTGGCTCCCAGCCTTAGGTATTCTTGGCCTTCAACTCCCAGGAACCCTGGCCAGCACAGCTGGTGGCAAAGGCTTCTGGGAGTTGCAGTCCACGAACATCTGGGTCACCCAAGGTTGGGAACCACTGGTCTAACCTGACAGTTTTATTTCTGACCTGGAAACAAAACACTTATCTGCCAGGGGAAACAACAACAACAACAACAACAACAACAACAACAACAACAGCATGATGATTGGAAAGCATGCAGACCATCTGTTAATCTCACAAGGAAGACATTTCCACCTCTCCCACCAAGGTTGAGAGGAATCATTTATGCGAAGAGAGGGGATGGGTCAGTTAGTCTGGGAGCAGGGCGAAGAAGGCCTTCAAGACCGGGCAGGTACCTAAAGAAAAATCCGTGTAGACTGGCTAAATACAAACTATTCACAGGAGCTATATATTCTTCAAGGACCACATCACTTTAAATATTGACAAAATTTCAGTCAATACAGAGTACATTCAGGACAAATACTCAAATCCAACAGGAAGCCGAGAGATCTTGCTGGGACATGTCCAGTTTGTTTGTTTGTTTGTTTGTTTGTTTCTATTTATTTATTTATTTGTTTATTTATTTAACTGGAGTGGTCCTATAGACCAGATGGGCGGGATACAAATCAAATCAAATCAATCAATAAATAACTTATATGCCCCCCACACTACCCAAAGGTCTCTGGGCGGCTTACAACATTTAAAACACAATAAAAAGACAAAACAATTAAAATGCAATTAAAATAGATACTCTAAAAATTGCCATCAGGACCCACAGTTGATATTATTTCAATTAAAAGCCTTCTGGAACAGGAAGGTTTTGACCTGGCGCTGAAATGTCATCAGTGTCGGCGCCAGATGAATCTCAGTCGGGAGGGCATTCCATAGTCTGGGGGCAGCTGCCGAAAAGGCCCTTTGTCTACAAGCCGTCCCTCTTACCTCCTTAAGGGACGGTTCTTTCAAAAGGGCCCCCTGGCTAGATCTTAACTGCCAGGTAGGCTCATATGGAAGGAGGCGGTATAACATGTATGAACATGTCTGATTCTTATGCTTCAGAAAATTCTGAGATTTTAAGTCCTACACTTTCCTTTGTAACAGAATTTCCTTGGAAAATGGCTTCAGTTCCTTTGTGGAAGGAACTTCCTTCCTTTCCTCCTGCCAACCTAGCGGTTCGAAAGCATGCAAATGCAAGTAGATAAATAGGGACCACCTCGGAGGGAAGGTAAAAGCGTTCCGTGTCTAAGTCGCACTGGCCATGTGACCATAGAAGATTATCTTCGGACAAAACGCTGGCTCTACGGCTTGGAAACAGGGATGAGCACCGCCCCCTAGAGTCAAACACGACTGGACAAAAATTGTCAAGGGGAACCTTTACCTTTACCTCCTTTGTGGAAACTTTAAGATAGCCCCAGCTAACCAGGCTGCTTGCATGAATACCCAGTTTCACTTCCTTTATCAAAGCTTGGGGTGTGCATCTTATTGGTAAACGGTTGTTCCCATCAACATGAACTTCCTGGGAGAGAAAATTCTCATCTTGATTGGAGTTATCTAAAGCCTAAGAGTTGGATCATACAAGCTGGACGTGTTCAAGCAAGATCTCTTAGCTGGATTTGAGTGTTTGCACTGAATGTACTACTCTGTACTGACCACACGTTGTCAATATTCAAAGGGATGTGGTACTTGAAGAATATATAGTTACTGTGAATAATTCACATTTAGTCAGTCTACATGGGTTTTTTTTTTGTTACCTGGGTAAGCCCCATGGTTCTCTTGCTCTGGACAGATAAGATTTCCAGACAAACAAGGACAGGGCAATGGGAGGGCAGGGGAGCAAAGTACAGGAGAATTAAGACAAACTCCTTTTTTCCAACGTCTGTGAAGCCACTGGAGAGCCAGCTGCAGAGCTGAACTTGAACGGAACTGGCCCAGGTTTAGCCAGAAAGAAATTCTCATGCATTTTGAATATAACGAGGGCCTCGGCTGTGGCCCTAGCATGCTGGTTGCCTTCCTTCTGCCGTTCTCAAAAGGAAAATCTCCTGCTGTGGGTTCAGAGAAGTCAACCTGGCTGAGTAAGAACACCAGAACGGCTGCCCAGCAGACATGGGAGAGGGAAACACCCAGGGGTAGAGTGCCAGCCTGCCCAATAACAGATAGGATGGCAAGAGTGCAATGGGAAAGCCAGCATGGATGCTCTGTCCCTGCTACAGTCATGGGCTTGCACAGCAGGGTGGGGGGGGAATTTGGGAGCTGGCCAGGAGTGGGCAGGATGGAGGACGACACGCAACCTATTGACTTATTCGCTGGTCTTATTCGCTAACAGTGGGCTCTGTTCTTCAAAGAGATGGTTCTTATGTAGCTCATAAGGCACAGCTCATACCAGGAAAGCAGCATCAGGAGACTTCAATTGGAACTGCTGGACAGCTCAGTGGTTTAGGCGCCTGGCTGTGGAGCCAGAGGTTGGGGGTTCGATTCCCCGTTGAACCTCTGTGAAAAGAGGTGGACTCTGTGATCCACAGTAGAGATGGGCATGAGCCGCCAGTTCGGCCGTTTGCACCGGTTTGTTCAGCGTCCGAACAAGTCTTCAGTGCTTTCCAGCCCTGTCTCCTCCGGTAAGCACCCACTCAGAGGCAGTGCCCCGGCTGCCTTGCCTCCTTCGGGTGCTGCCTCTGAGCGGGCACTTGCCAGAGGACATGGAGCTTTGAAGTGCTGAACTCCTGTTCAGCCACAAAACAAAATGGCATGAACTGCTGAAACAGTGGTTCATACTCATTTCTAGCAGCATGTAAAAACCAGTCAGGCCCGATAGAGTTTCTATTTTAATTGTATTATCTTTTATTGTATTTTAATTGTATTTTAATTGTTGTAAGCTGCCCAGAGACCTTTGGGTAGAGTGGGCAGCATAGCAAATAAATAAATAAATAAATAAATAAATAAATAAATAAATAAATAAGTAAATAAATAAATGAATAAATGAATAAATGAATAAATGAATAAATGAATAAGAGGCAGGGCAGCCGGGGCGCTGCCTCTGAGCGGGCACCTGCCAGAGGAGGCAGGGCAGCCGGGGCGCTGCCTCTTAGCGGGCACTTGCCAGAGGAGTTGGCCTGCAAACCTGTTTGGTCACTGAGCGAACTGGCACGAACTGCCAAGCCAGTGGTTGGTGCCCATCTCTGATCCATGGGGTCCCTTTTCAGGTCTGCAGTTCTTAAGATTACAAAATGACAAGTATGTCTCAAAATCCCTGGGAGAAGATCCATTCTTCCTCCAGACAAGAAACAGCTCAGTGGAACTCAAGACAGATTGTCTGAAGGGCGAAAAGAGTTAGGAGAGAGGGGCAGAATGGAATGGAGTCTTCTAAATGAGCTATGTCACGCTGTAACATTTTGTTGTGGTTCTCCCTTCAGTCTATTATCTGGCTGATGCATCTAAGTGTTACAAATTCATTTCAGTCAATTCCAATTAGCCAAAGATTTCTTTTCAAATTACTGGAAAAAATAAACCACATTAATCCCGCCCATGTCATTTACTTCAGGAATGTATGTTACGTGCCGGTTCTGTGACAGCTATCTTTTAAAGCAAAGCGTGGTCTGGCTTGTGATTAATTGCTTAGAAAAGGCTGGCACACAGTCGACTGGAAACATTGATCTGAAGACGCCATTAATTCATCTTTTAAAGTGAAACAGAAATCATGTGAGATGCCAGTGTGGATGAAGAAGGGGAGGAAAAATCCATCTGCTCACCTGTTCCCGTTCCAGTCGGATCACCCCCTTGAATCTGCAGAAACCAAATAGAGGAAGATATTAGGTTGAAGGAAAGTGAAATCAAATTTAGTTTGGTGGCTGTTCAAAATGGTGTTTTCTGCCAGCAGGGTCGCAAGCGGAGACCTGCTCCTTTCCAGTTTCTTTTATCAATGAATTGCCATCGTGAATTAGTCACCTCATAGTATGACAGGGTTATAGGGAAAGGTTTTCTGTGACATGTCATATTTTCTCAGCAACCTACATTTGAACCCGTAAGCAAGAACTTGCTTACGGGTCATCTGACCTTTCTCACCTGATGACTCATATAAACATGTTCAAACTCAGCCATGAGCTCAAACATAGGTAAGAGAAAAAAATATGACATGTCATAGAAATTCTCCCCCTATATGAGGAGGGATCTAGAGGTCAAAGGGGGAGAGGAAGCAGAGAGAGGAAGGCTGGCAGAACGTAGCACACAGAGATTTAGAATTAAGAGACTGCTAAGCTGGAACTTTGGCGTGTTACTCTTTCTACTAACTTTTTCTTATAGGGCTGTCTGCGAGGGTGTCAGAGGTTATACTGTAAGCCATGTGGTTTGGAAACAGAAGTTCTCAGGTCCGGTCCCTGGATCCCTCTGAAGATCTGCTGCCAGCCCGAGTAGATCAAGGGTGACCCTTCAGATCTTGCTGGGCTGGAGACCCATCAACTCTCCCAGCACCATCAATGGAGGTTACGATGGGACATCCCATCTTGAAGCCAACAAGGCAGGCTAAGATGGCCCAACAGGTTGGCTCAATGGAAGGCAGCTTCCTTGCCTTAGATGTTGTTTTGGAAAAAGGTAGAGTATAATCTTAGGAAGGTATGTTCCAATAAATATAGAAACCACATTGTCATAGCTGTTGTCCTACTATTTTATGGCTGCTACTGGAAAGACTGGAAAGAAGAGGATTAGCCATGAATAACTGCTTCGCCCAATGCTACTTGGAATAGCGCTATGCCAGAAAGCAAGGTGTAGGGCAGGGAAGGAAAGAGAGAGCGAGAGCGAGCAATTTTTGGCTGATAGCATCCAGGAGGAACTCGGCGGCCTTCGGTGTCTATAGCAACAAGAATAGAAGAAGCTAAGCTACTGCTTCAAAATGCTGAGTGCCATCTGAGACCCAATTTCCAATTTCTTGCCCCTATTTGGCACAGAAGTCTCTCCAAAGAAAGCATCCGGCTCAGCTTTTGTTTAAATAATAACTGAACGTTTTTTCTTCCTCTGATTCTCAGAAGACTGAAATATATTCCTTTGCCCTCTCTGCCTTCTCTCTCTCTCTCCATTCTGCTTTTATTTTTTTATTTTTAAGGATACATTTGTGGACAGAAAATCCTCTTTTAAATGGGATCATTGCTCAGGATCTCAAGCTTAGGAACGATAAGCGAAACGGGCACAGGAAATTAATCTGCCCCTCTTGGTTGCTACTTTAAAGGAGACACGCTCACAGGGAGATCTTCTTCGTACAATGGTGGAGTCCTGATCATGTGGACCAGCGGATTTTTAGATCCCTTCTAGCTTCCTGGGGGAACCAACCACACGAAATGGTTAGACGTATAAAAGGGAGAAGAGATGGGCACTGTGGCCCCGATTCTCAGGGGTGGCTCCATATGTCTAACCTCCCTATATTTGGCAAAGATCTTGAGAGGCAGACAGAGGTGGTGCTCGTCCAGGCTTCTTCGTACGATGGTGGAGTCCTGATCATGTGGACCAGCGCTCTGTGACAATAGCTGTTCCCACTGTTAGGATTCCACCAATCATACAGGGAGCTTCCGTGAGCACAGCTGCAGGCGCACACGCAAACACACGCACAGAGAACATTTGAGAATCATGAGGATGGGCTCTAAAAATACAGCTGGGTTTCTCTTTCCAGAATGTCACTGACTGTATGGCTGAGCCTCCGCAGAGAGAGCTGATTCTGAGTCACATGGATGAGCCTCTACAAGATACGTTGGGCTCTCCCTTCACAGATCCCATTAGGGATACTGCTCCCTCCTTTAGAACTTTATCGAACTTGCAGGAGTTGGCAAGCCAGAGGTGAACAAATCATCATCATCTTAGAACTGCAGAGCTGAAAGGGATGCTACGGATCACGGAGTCCAGCTCCTGCCAAGGAGGCACCGCGGGGGAATCAAACTCCCAATCTGGCTCCTCAGCCAGATGCCTAAACCACTGAGCTATCCCACCGGGATGGTGGGGCCAGCAAACGCAGGAACACTAGGAAAAGGGTAAAGAGCAGTAACCTTGACCCCACTGCATGGGGTTCGCCCTTGGCATAGAAAGCTATCAAAGGAAGAAGACATATGTTGCGTCCAACTGTGACTCTGGTGGAAGAGACCAGCGCCCGATCCACTATCCAATGCTTTTCGCGTGCATTATCTCGGAAAACAGCTGAGAAAAGCCTCTTAAATCAGAGATGGGGAACCTTTGGCTCACACAATATTTTGGCTGACACTTCTCATAATCCCCTACCATGCACGATGGTCATTTGGGTCTCTGGTAGATGGTTCAAGTATCTGGAGGGCAAAGAATATTCCCTACCCTTGCCTTAGATAATATAGTTCAGAGCCCAGTCTTTCACTCCACTTGTTTTAACCCAAATCAAAAGAGCCCACATGATGTGGGGGGGTCTAAAAATGTGGCACTGAAAAGATACGCAATTACTGAATGCTGGGAAATCGTTGATGACAGCCTGACTCATGCAACGTGGGTTGCTAGGCAATGAGCTGTATCTCTTACTCTGGAGGGGCAATTTCGTTCTCCACGAATATTTTCTATTAATGTCAGCCTGAGTTTATGTCCATTGCCAATTCTGGTCCAGAGGAGATAAACAACAACAGCCGTAACACAAAGCTTGTTAATTAAACTGGTTGACACCAGGGTGGCTCCTTCTAGGGACAAAAGATGGGTCCTCCGATACTCACCACAAAATTGCGAATTGATCTGTGAAAAATGGTCCCATCGTAGTAATTTTTTTTGCATAGCTTAATGAAGTTTTCACAGGTTTTAGGGGTCTGGAAAAAGAAAAATGAACAACATCAGCAGTTTTTAATTAAAGAATGGATTTTACACAATTGAGTCCCATTACAAATAAGAGCTTTATATGCATGTTTGGTGTCCATCGTATCCACAGAATTAGCTTTCTTGGCTCGAATTGACTGACCTAATTTTGAGACTGGAGATCTTACTGTTTGGGGCTGTGTTGCTTGAGAGATTCTAAGAATTATAGACCAATGGAAATGCTTCCAACCTCTGAATTTCCAGGCTGATGCATCACTCTATCTAATGGCAGAGCATGGATCAATGTTAAAATGTAAAATAGACATAAAAATGAATATATTGGCTTTTAAAAGATGTGCGAACTAGAAAATTAGAAGGGTTTAGGAACATGAGTATGATTTTTTTTTAAAAAAAAAGGTTCTCTGGAGCAATATTGTTAGAGCCATAAGTCACCTTGCAATGATTTTAAATCAAGAACAGAAAAAAATGAAATTAGTTTGGAATTGAAGCAGGGAAATGGAGAGACAATCCTGCTTCAGAATGCTGTAAAGCTAGTAACAGACTCAAAAGACATCTCGCACTCTGGATTCTGTGGGCTGCCTTGTAAACAAAGATAACCATTTCCCAGCAATCTTCCACCTCTGAAAAATCTCTATGGAAAGAACTTCCTCTAAATGCCATCAACATGTTCCCACAGTCACTGCGTGCATCATGCGAGGCACATAATGCTCTGCCGTGTAAGTGGTTTCCTTAGCAACGTTACTGGAACAGGATACGCTAAAAACCTGTCTAAGATTTCTGGTTTACACGAAACAGACGGCAATGTCATCATCCTTCAGGCAGGTGAAGAAGGTCATGTCTTCAGGCCTGTGTTTACATTATAATTTGAGGTTTGGAACCTCTGCATTACTTTCATTTAAAAGAAAAAAGAAAAAAAGAGAAAGGAAAATAAAATAAAAGTTAAACATTTTTAAATCACTTTGCTCAGCTACTGGGATATGAATGGCCATCTTTAGATGGAAGATGGGGGAAAGCCATCTTCACCAGTGACATACAGTGGTGCCTCGACTTATGACCATAATCTGTTCCAGAAGATGGGTGTAACTCTAAATGGTCGTAAGTTGAAGCACCATTTCCCATAGGAAAACATTGAACCCCCATTCATCCGTTCTAGCCGGGGGAAAAACACACACACA